GCCAAAATTTGAATTTATGACCCATAGTCCTATTGTTTTCACTGCTAAACACAAAAAACGTTTGATGGATCTATATTATCAATACCCTTAATAATCTTAAACACTTCAATCAAATCCCCTCTGACCTTTCTCCTCTCCAGAGAAAACAAGTTTAGAGATTTTAGTCTCTCCTCATAGGACAATCCGACTATCTCAGGTATCACTCTAGTGGCTCTTCTCTGAAACTTCTCCAACAATTCAATCTTCTTCTTGAAAAATGGAACCCAAACTGTACACATTACTCTAGATGAGGCTTTACAAGTGATCTATGCAATGAAACAATAATATCCCTTGTATTGTATTCAATGTTTCTATAGATGCTACCCAAAATCCTATTAGCTCTATTGTTAGCTACAATACACTGTTTAGATGACTTAAGTGATTTTTCGATCACAACATCAAGATCTTTTTCTTCAACCACAGTATTTAATGTATTTCCATTTAAATTGCAACAATAATTAGAATTGTGAAAACCTGCATGCACTACCTTATATTTTGGATAGTTAAACATCATCTGCCACGTATTGGCCCAATGCATCAAATGATCTAAATCTCCCTGTAAGTTTGTAGCATCTTTGATACAGTTACCCACCCCAAAAATCTTAATTTCATCTGCAAACTTAAAAATTGTTAGTTATTCCAGAGTCGATATCATTAATATAAATTGCAAACATCAGAGGACCAAGCACAGAGCCGTGAGGCACACCACTTGTAACTGTGATCCGGTCAGATCTAACTCCATTTATTACCACTCTCTACTTTCTACTCTTCAGCCAATTTAATAACACTTCCCCCACACCCACAGATTTAATTTTTGTAACAAGTCTTTTGTGAGGCACCTTATCAAACGATTTCTGAAAATCAAGGTAAACCAAATCCATAGTATTTCCGTCATCAACTCTTGCAGTAACATCCTCAACGAATGTGAGAAGATTTGTTAAACAATACTTTTTTTCCTTAGTGAAACCGTAATGACATATCGCATACACACATGATGAAAAGGATAGGGCTAACTACTCCACCCTGTGGAACACCTGCCTCAGAAGTATTAAAACTTCGAGTAGGTGCCCTCCACATTTACTCTGTATTTTCTATTTTCTAAGAAGTTAGACAACTAGCGAATAACAACTGTAAGTAATTCCAAATGTTTCAGTTTTTATCTTACTGTTATGCCTTACAGTGTCGAATGCTTTCTCTGTATATGTTTAATGGCGGTGTTTCGATCTATTTAATAACATTACTAATATTAGTACTGACACAGATTTTCATTAGACTGGTTTACAAGTTACATCATAAATAAGCATTATAGATAATACACATCCAAAAACGTAAACACACTGATTAATTCACTCTACTGGCAAGACAACAACTCTCGTATCTTTTTGATGCTTCGCTAACACCGTATCTGTAATATATCCTCATTCTAGATATTTCAGTAAACCTCTAGTTTATTAACATTCCCAAATATTCTACTTTTAGTTTTAGGACTTCTTCTTAAAATTACGTGCTCTCTAGCTAACAACTTAATTAGAGCATTAAAAATACAACTTATAACAGTATTGTTTTGTTTGTTGAACGTTGGACATCTTCGAACATTCAAAATAACATAAGTAAATAAATATAACTCCCTATATATATCTGAGTGTGGTGTTACTAAACTCTTACCTATATCATTGACCATATTGCGCATGCGCAGCGACGTGTGAGGGTATATGTTTAGTCAAGGTATAGTGGCGCTGACTGCAGAGTAAGATAGAAAGATCGTCGTAACTGATTTAATTAAGCTAAATATTAACCTTAACTTAAGAAACCCTATTAATATAAAAACGTTTTTATCAGGTGTGGTTATGTGTGAAAATAAAAATATGGTCTTTGATTGAGATAAGCTTATGAATTATAATGTTTAACTTACAAACCTACACAAAATAGGTTTGATCGTACTGCTATTGTGGTAGGATTTACACATACAATCTACTAAGTCCGGTGTGTTAAGTGTGAATTAAATATTTTTTATAACTTATACGTCCTAACAATGTAATAATAATAATGTGGTTTAGATTTCTTAAGTCTTTTCCACCATCCCTTGCGACACATACAGCTGGCGTTGTTGACGTTAGATTACGGTTTACATTTGTTTCCCTGTATCAATGTAGGCCTATATCAGAAATAATACGGCCAAGAGAGCGTAGGTATCTTTTGTTTAGGAAGTTTCTGTTCTTATTTGTCAGTTTTTAGTTTAAGAGACAAGATTGATGATCGGAGTGGTATATTTAAGTATTACTATTAGTACAAATACTATCAACTGATCCCCCTAGTGGCTCAGCAGTAAAACTATCACTAGATATACATCTACTGATCTAGGCATCTAAATGTATAAACTTTTTTCATTTATAGTTTTGAATTTTTCTGTGATAATAGGAATACTGGAACAATCTTGTATGGTTTATTTTTTATTTAGGCACTAGTCTTCAGTTAAGCAGTAATATTTTACTCAAAATAAGGAATAGTAAGACTTGCAACTTACAAAACAACAACTTTTAATTATATTTTAAGGTTTTGGTGTTTTTAAATTATAGATAATGATACACAAATTATGAATTTGGTTTGTTACTAGTGAACTTGATAAGTACATTTTCACATTTATTTTATACTAAAAGCAGAAAGCCTATTTATACTATAGTCTTGTGCATTTTAAATGTATATGTATTTTATGGAAGGGTTTTTAAATTTAACTAATCTGTGTAAAAAGTGATAGCATGGTAACTAATAGGTAATTCTTTCATTATCATAGGTACAGAAAATTTTTATTTTAGTTATATATTGCAAAAAAGAATGGGAGCATCATTGTCCAGAAAAAAGGAATGGTCACCAGGTATATTTATATTTTATTATTTTGTTATGCAAGTTCAAAGTTCAGTGCAGTATAAGTTAGTGTGATTGTATTGTATTAGGAACAACATTAAATGAAATATAATGATCAGAACTTTGTAAAAAAAAAAAGAAGCTTTTCCTTAAGAACATAGTCTGGAAGAATGTAACCATAGCACGTAATGAAAAGTTCCTTCCAAAACATACTTACCTCCACTGATACTAATAGCTATTTCTTGATCTTCATCTTTGCCATCTAACATTGTGTTCACTTGCCCCAGTCTTTATATACCTCACTCGACTGCCCTCGACAATATCTAATTTGCAAAACTTTACACTGGCCCTCACACGTCCTCTATGCAGGTACTGTATAAAAGCACTGTATGCAGACAATAAAATTACTTTTTCTCAACAAAGCACGAGCATTCGGACTAATGTTTTGTGATTTACATTTTCTTAGTTTTCGTTTTTTAATAATCAGGACTTCTTTGTTTTGTTATCCAGAGATATATTTCTTTG